GCGGACCCGCGGCGGCGGCTTTTGTTGCCCGGCGGCTCCGTTCGCGCAGAGCGCCAGGCAGCTGAGCCACAGGAAGCAGGGCTGCAGGCGCATCCACCGCCGTCTGCCCATGCTGCGGCGGCGGCCCCGGAGGGAAGCGGCGGAGGAACGGCGAGGCGGGGAGAGGGACAGCGCTCCGCAGATCCTCGCGGGGAGGCTTCAGCCGCTGCGGCTCCTTCTTCTCTCCTCTTCCTCCTCCTCCGCAGGTTGCAGCGGGACGCGGTGGTGCCAGCAGCAGGGTCCACGTTGCATCCCCCCTCCTCTCTCTCCAAAGAGGGGGGGAAAGGAAAAATAGTTAAAAAGAAGAAGAAGAAAAAAATGGGTTTGAGCTTCCACTCCCCTCCCTCCGAAAAAAAAAAAAAAAGAAAAAAAAAAAAAAAGAAAAAAAAATCCAACGGAACGGAACCAGGCTAAATCTAAATGTCCGCAGTAAAAACAGCAGTAAGATAATAATTAACCGAGTCCAAAGAAAGAAGTGTGTAGAACGGGCAGCGAGAAGCGCACAACTCACTGCCAAGCACAAGGGGCGGTTTTACAGCTGGCTGCGGTGCGGGGGAAGCGAGGAGGCGGGGGCGGGACGGCTCCTCACGGCCGGTGCTGAGGCGACCGCGGGGGAAGGGGCGAGCACGGCCCCGGGCGGGGGCCGGGCCGGGCCGGGCTGAGGGGAGCGGGGCCGAGGGGGAGCGGGCGCACACGTGGGGCGGGGGCCGGAGGAGGGGGCGGAGGGGGCGGCGGGGGCGGGGAGCAGGTAGGGCCGGCCCCAGGCATAGCTCGGCGCTCTGCGGCCGGGTGTGTGGAGGCGCCGCCGCGAAGCAGAGGAGCGTGCGGGGTACCGCGGGGATCCGGCCCGAGGCGGCGGGCGCGGGTTGGAGGCTGGCGCCGCGTTGGGCGCTGGGAGCTTGCAGGAGCTGCTTTCCTCTCGGTGCTTCGTGCACGAGCGGTCGGCAGGTTGGCAAGGCTCTTCAGAGCGCCCTGGAAAACACGAGGTTTCCATCGGATGTTTCATAAAATTCACACCCTTCAAGTCTTCCTCGTTCTCCCTTCACCATTTCTGCCTATACAGGCGACTTCAAACCAATGCAGATAAACGCGTGGCTACCCTTCTCATTACTTTTATAGGTGTGTGGGATAGCCAGTCACCAGTGCAGCCGAACAGAAGCGATACAGTCGCCTCCTTGCTGGGAGTCCCCAGCTGGTTCTTCTGATAGCCGTGGGGTATGCTCTGATTCTCTTATCGTTACTGCAAATTACAGCTATAGGGATGAGCATCTCATTGTGCTAGGACTACTGCAGCAACCACAAAACTCTTCTTTACTTCCAAAGCAAAACAAACAAAACGGCAGCTGCTTTCAGGTCTGAGTGCATGTTATCTGGCACTTCTAATTCTGGAATGAGAGGCAGGAACCATGCTTCGTTATCTCTGAAATAAAGCCTCCAGCTTAAAGGTCGCAAAGCAATCCCCTCATTCAAGTCACTCTGCTGCTTTGATAGCCATGGCTCTAAGCATGGCTCCAATCAGATCTACGTTCCAGTTCATCTGGAGTCCTTTTTTTTTTTTTCTTCTTTAAAGTTTGGAAGATTATAAAAAATAAGCTTGCTGATGAAAATCTGAATCTTTAAAAATGATGCCTTGAGAAGTTAACTAAAGGAAAAGTTAATAGCTGGAAAGAAGAGATCAGGAACCTCCGGAATATAAGTGAGGTTTGGAATTTCCTCAGATTTGAAGATGCTAAATCTGTCGTGAATGAGGTGCTCCAAACAAAGGCACTGAGAGAGGATTCCAGCGGGTGAATAAATCTCAAGAAAAATTGCAAATAGGCAGATAGCCTCCAAAGAATAAAAACGAAAGGGCTGATCTGAGATAAGCTTAGGGCCTTGGATATCAGGAAGCACAGAGATAAATAATTCCCAGTAGATAAACAGAGCTAGATATTGTAAAAATTGCAAAAGAAAAAAAAAGTAAAAAAGAAGTTAAATAACAATGACAGAAGGATGACAATAGAAGGAACCAGATACACAGTGAAGATTTAGAGGAAAAAAAAATAGTTATGGCTCAAATCCAAGAGATATAAACTTTGAATTAGTTTTTAACATGAAACAGATACTGAACACAACAAAAGCAGAATGCCACAACTGATATGCACGTAGCTGATATGCCCCATCCCTGGAGGCGTTCAAGGCCAGGCTGGATGGGGCTGTGGGCAGCCTGGTCTGGTGATTGGCAACCCTGCACATAGCAGGAGAGTTGAAACTGGATGATCGCTGTGGTCCTTTTCAACCCAGGCCATTCTGTGATTCTGTGATAAGGCTCAGAGACTGATGCACTGAAGCTAGAAGAGAGCTAGGCAGCATCTTTCTAGAATTTTGAAAGGACGTAGTACACAAGGCTATACAGCATTCAAATATAAGGAATATTAATTCCATTAGGAGTATGATATAAAAGATTTGTATAAATACATGTTCAAGTGATCTAGTTATCAAGAAAGATATTTTTTATTAGAAAGAGAAACATTACTACATTTTATAGATACAACACAAGACAAAGATTAGAAAAATTTGAAGAGCTGCACAAAAAAAGCATGGACAAGGGAAAAGAATAACTGCTAAATTGTGGGTTCTTTAGCCAGTAGCACTTCTGGAAGAAAGGAAGAAAGGAAAGACAGGAAAAATGGGAAGAAAGAATGGAAAATGGGAAGAAGGAAGAAAGAAGGGGAGGGGAAAGAAGGGGAGGAATATATTTTAGGATAAAATTAGATTACTAGTTGGGAAAACTGTCATAGGCTTCGTTTGCCAACTGTTAATAAGCATGTGAATTTGGTGAGATTTCCTCCCATCCCATTCTGTAGCTGTTATAAATGGAAGATGCCTTGATGCATAGACGTCAAGTGGCCTGTGCAGAAGGATGAATTGCTCTAGCTGAAGTTCCATTTCTAGTCTGACCAATTCTAGTAAGAATAGGTCAATGTTATATGTAGTGGATATTCATGAAGCATGTAACTGTACATCTCTGTGCAGAAAATATTCACCGAGAAAAACCTTTTATTTTATTGCAGGTTATTTTAGAATCTGCATTTTTCCCATGTAGTTGACTTTTTATTTTCCAAACGGGGGTGAGAGTTATTTTTAAGTAAGGGCATCTTACTATTTTGACATTTGGAAACAAAGATAAAGTATGGGCTGTTATACTATCACTTTCCTAAAGCAGAATCCAAGTAAACTCACAGCTGCAAATATTTTATGTTAGGACTAAAAATGGATGTCTTTCAGTGGCAACAGTTCACTGACAGTTACAATCATTTTCACCAATGCCTTACTCTGAAATTGTCAGAAGCTGCCAACAACAACAACAGTACCAGTATTAAAAGCACAGACAACAAGAGGCGTGTCAGGACTGGAAAAAAAAAGAAAAAAAAAAAGTTAAAACATTTATTTCTTCTTACTGTTGTTATTCACATGCTATGGATTTGACATTTTTCATCACTGAGAGGATTTTAACCAGTAGGAAACAAGAATCCCTTCTCACTCAGGGATTTCAGTTTTTCTTTCTCCTTTTCCAGTTACGTTTCAAATTCCACCTACATGACTGACTTGTTCCACAAAGTAGGAGTTCTTGCTAAATGTGAGCATCCTTTCAATATTATTTCAACATCACTTGTGACAGGAGTACAAATACTCTCACCTTACTTTTTGCCACGACACTTTTGGAGCATTCAAAACACAAACATCTAGATGTGACAGAAAGCATTTGAAAAAATGGAAACACGGGAAAAGGGTAAATTGTGTTATAAACGTGTTGGGTGGAATACCTGTGAAGTGCAGTGTGTTCTTTCCTCTTTTTGCTGGACTGTTTTCTCTTTTGATAAAGCAAATTGTGAAATATTTATTGCTTCCCAATAATCTGTAGGTTCCTAGGCAGTCTTTCATGTGCTTACTACTAAAAAAAATTTCCAATGCAAATCCTACTTTCTTCATTTTAAGGACCTCTCCCCCCGTTCAATTTTTATTTCCAGAATCTTCTTACCTTCTACTTTCTTGGATAATATTATCCCATTTTTTGTGTGTGTCCATATCTTTCTTCAGACTTTCCAGATTTTCATCTGTTCCTGCGATCTTGATTCATTCTGCTGAGCTGATCTCATTCACCGCATGAGGTTCTCAAAGCTGAAATTGGTTGTCTAGCTTAGTCTGTGCCCAAGTTGTTCAGAGAGGAAAGATCTATTTATTTATCTTACAATCTGAGATCCACAGTGTTTAGAGGTCAGAGGATACCTGTATTTTCCAAATCATGAATAATATTGACTCCTTTTACCTTACAGTATTCTCCTATACTCCATATATGCTGTGTTTTTCCACACAAGTGCTACAGAGGCAGCAAAAAACTTCCATTTCAGTTAGCTGAGCCACATACTCCCTCTCCCTCCTTTTTTTTTCCTTTTTGACCATTTATCTAACTTACTGAATCATTTTGAATTCTAATGCTGTCCTGCTGCTCTCTCTCCAGGTTGGCACTGATCTGCAGATCAAATAAATTATCTATTATCTGATCTTAAAGAAAAATAATGAAGAGTAAAGCATCCGGGGCATCTGTCTGAAACAGTACTTGTTACCTCACGGGTGATCAACTATTAGTTCACATTTCCTTTAAGCAATGACGTACTCATTCTGTGGCAATTTAATTTGGAATAATGTCTTCCCTGCTTAGGAGACTGACAGTTGAGTCTGTTTCAAATGCATTGCTAAAACAACATAGATTTTCCTATCCATCTACTCTGTTATTTGTCACATAAAATCTGTATGGAACTTGCTTGTTCTTTGTAAGTTTCACTTTTTTCTGATGTTATTTTTCTCTCGTAGAAACTCACTCATAGTTGAATTGTTTTTATTTGCATTTTTTTCAGGAAGCCAGGGAATTGGACAAGTTGACCTAACTTCCTTTTTTCCTCTAATTTCCCACAGTTTAGCAGTGAATGAACACTTGATGAGCAAGATGAGAGAAAACTGATTAATTCCAACTCTGAATTTGTTCTCAATCAAAAGAAATCAGTAAGTATTTACGATCTCTTGTATGCCTATACTTTGTAAAATTTCCATGCAACTGGAGTATGTTACGAGGATTTAAAGTTCTATTTCTGATTCATATTTTTTGTTAGTTCACTTTAAGTTGGTCTACAGTTAAGACCTCAGGTACTACTACTCAACAAACAGTCCCTCACATACGCAGAGTCCTGCAGACCTGCATGTTTCACTATCTGTTGAATTTAAAATAATTCTAGCAGTGGTTTCAAAGCAAAGTTTTCACTACAGATTTTAAAAAATGTATGCATATAGTGTATGTTAACGAGGTGTATTGAAAAGATGAGGTGAAAATATCATTATGAGACTAAAATAGAACCAGAAAGAAATTTAAAAGAGAAGGAAGCAAACTGAATAGAAAAAAAGAAAAGAGAGAAAAGAGAAAAGAAAATCAGTCCTAATTAATGAAATCCTTTATGAGGGAAATTTTCCATGCATTTAAACAAAAAATATTTCAGAGATACAATGCTTCAGCTGTACAAGGATATCTTCCTTCTGAATGAATAACTCTTGGGTAAATTAGTGATACATTTAAATTGGTAACTATTTTAACTTTTTGATGCAAATGAAAACACATACAGAGCAGATTATCTTAGTATATCCTTCCAGGACTCATTTGCTTATTTTACCTGTAACATGCCATATTATTTGTTCCAATTGATTGTTTTAGCATAGGAAGGGTAGGGTGGATTACTTCACTCCACTGATTTTTCTTCTTTTTAAGTGAGAAAAACAGAAGTGAAATGTTCCTAGTTTAGACTTCTACTAGAAATGAGATGCTGCATACAGTTACAGAATTTAACATCAAATGGTAGAAGGTAATAAAGAAAAACAAAAAATAAGCAGCTATTTTTTTTTTTTTTTTTCCCAAGATGCAGAAAAGGGTAGTCAGATTCTGTGTGCAAGAATCAGCAGTGAAATAAGATCTGTACATATGGCAGGAGATTGAAGTCACCTCTTCCTAGAGCTCAGACACTCCAGTGCCTATTTTAAAAGAAATCAAATTAAGTCAAATTAAATAGAAAACACAACTGAGATTTTGGATATTCTGTTGTACTTTTGATAGAGGTGTCTGGCTGGTGTAGTTTTTCCCAGATTTCAGGAGCAGGTCTATTGTTGCAATTATTTTGATTTGTCTTTGTTCTGGAAACTCTACCCTGGGGAATCTGTAGGTGGAGCACATGAAAAGGCTCAATTATTCAAGAGAAATTTAATCCGGTACTAAACCACAGACTATGTGGTTTTAATTACTTAAATACGTTAATAATTTGATGGCTGTATGCTTTTAAATGGTTGTTCTTTTATAGGTGCCTTTGAGCATTATTTTTTGACCCACCTTCTCATCAGCAATATCTTATAAAATGTGGGATTCTAACATGAATCTCATCGAGATGACACCATGTATTCACATCCACATTTTATCTGTTTACCTTCGTAAAAGCGTGTGTGCTGTTTGTTACACAGTAAACTAACAACATCTCCACAGTTACTCTGTGCTCTGAAGCAGTTTTCTTTGTCTAAACCAGTCAGTGTTGCCAGGAGTTGCACCTACACACATACAAGCACTGCACCACGAATCAAGAACCTGGAAAAAAAACATACTGTATCAAACCCAATCCCTTCAAGGCTTCAGTTCTTCTGCATGCTCATAGAGAGATCAAGCTTTAAAAGCAGGGATGAATTGGGTGAATATTGAAGTGTGGCAGCAAAGTGGTGGAGTTTGTGCTATCTGCTGCTCTGGCTGCATCGCTGTTTGAAGCCCATGTTCTCTCTCTTCAATAAATATCATTGCATCTGTGGAATCACAAAAGTAAAGTGAGCTTGGCAGCCGTCCCAACAGTCTCTCGTAAGCCCCACACTATGCAGCAGTGCTATCTAAACAGAAATGATTCTTAACAAGGAATCAGTGAAGTCAGGTTTTTTGTTGTATTTATTTTGTTTTCCCTTATGTGATAGACATGAAGTCATAGTTTCTGCATACTAGAGTCAATTTTTACTTTATTTTTACCAGAATAAAATAGCTTTATGGAAAAATAAATATAAACAGACTTCAATTCTGTGCATTCTGTAAGATAAAAATGTTAAATTGTTGTCATTGCAGTTCTTTTATTTAGGCAAATGCCAATGAAAAACGAAACTGGAAATTTTTACTTACCTGCAAATTTTAGGTAGGCAGATGCTGCATTTATATGCAGTTCAAATCAGTATAATCTTGATGTATGAAACTTCAATTGTGGTTCAGGAGGTTTAAATAAGCCCTGTGCTCAAAAGATGTGTAGGAAATAAATATCAGTCGTATATTTTCAGTCCTTATGGAATGCTTCAGTAATGTGTGATCGCACTACGTATACTAATCCATATTAAAAATGTGCATAACTTATTTCAGAAGCATACAGTGATTACGGCATGTCACACACAGCACACTTCACTTAGAGCAGTGGTAGGATGGATAGGTCACGTACCAGTGCAAGTGTCATAAGAAAGTTGGTAGTCACCAAAACTGCCTGTAAACTTGCATACAAAAAATGTGAAACTTGAGGGATGGTCTGAAATTCATCTGCAATGGCTATAAGGACAAGTACATAATTTAGTATATAGTTAGCAAAGAACAGCTTCTTAAACGGATACCTAAAGATGTAGGGGATAAAAGATACTGTGAAACTGTCAGCTTTCTTTTTTTTTTTTTTTTTTATTCCTTCAAAAATATAACTTCAGTCTTTTTAATTATTGGACCCTAAGGTACAATCAGTCCTGATGTTTTCTATTATGTAAAACAAATCTGGACTCATGATTACAGACTCTAGTTTTGCAGTCACATGAATCTCAATGTATTAAGAGAGAGAAGCCATGCTAATTCCATACAGATGTGCTGTTGCATTCCTGTAAATTTTCAGACTGAAAAGGAAATGCTAGTTACACCCCTTTCCTCTACAGCCTACGGTAGAACATTTCACAGATTGCATATGTGTTTTGCGTTTGAAGAAAAACAGTCATAGATCTCTCTGACCAAATACTCCTGTTTTTAACTTGTCGCCAACATTTTAAAATCAAAAGTCTGTGCTTGCCAATTTGTGTGTCATATCTATGACATATATATTTTTAAACAATCTAAGAAACCTAGCATACACACAAAATTTGAACAGTTTTATTCTTGTAAACATTCACTTGTTACTTGGAAAGAGAATGCTTTATGTTTATTTGTGTACGAGCATACAAATACATACTTTCATTTTTATTGTCAATTTCAAAGAACTAAGAAGACTGAGCAAAGAAAATGCTAATAATTCTTACATCAGTCTTGAAAGTGTTTTGCATAGAGTAAGAGCAAAGACTTGTAAGACTAACTCATAGGAGCTTTTCAAACCAGTTGCTAAAACTAGGCCGCATTTTCCACCGATTTCCACTGGCAGAGATATTAAGGAGACTTTCAGTGTGGAAAATATGTGTGAATGTGTCAGTAGAAAACATCTAATATCTATCTTCCTCAGAAAACTGATAGACCCCTCAGAAAACTGATAGACCCCTCCACAGAGAGAAGTGGCTGAAATAATAGAAGAATGGCAGAATATGCTGAGTTGGGTGAGCCTAGCACAAACTTTTCCAACTGAAAAATCATCCTTGACCATCACATTCCAGTTCTGAAAGGGTGCAGATTTCAACATAGTCTCTTCGTTCAAAGTATTCATTCTTCATGCTGAGACCTGGATCTGGATAGTGATGTCTATACTTCAAAAACGGCTAATAAGATTCCTGTTCATAAACACAGTGCAGAGAAACCTCTCTTAAGTCACTCCACTGGGGACTCGAAGTTTGTTGCCAAACAGAAATGGTCTGTAACTAAAGGTCAAACAAAATTTGTGCTTGAAACCATGGGGATACTTTAGATCACTTAGAGCCTGGTTGTGGTCAGAAGGACCACTTCCTTGTACTGTATTCTCTTTGACCTAACAATTCAAAATTTGCTGTTATGAGTAAACTTTCAACTGCTTTGCAGTTCCATTTATCTTGACAATGCTGTCCTGGAAGTATTTTCTAGAGTTCTTTTTATTTGATCTCAGACATTTATCCAGGTAATGGCAAAGGCAGAAGGAACACAACCTCTATAATATTCTCAAAGTATGACAGGTTGCAAAACACCCCGTTCCCCTCTTCTCCCCCGCCTCTCCAATCTTGATCAATACCTGCTAGAGTGTCACTCAGTTGTGAAACAATTTTATGCAACACTTACTATTTTTTATATCATTACAGTGACATCTAGGGGTTTTATTAATGAATCAGGAGCGTGCTTTTCAAGCATGACATAAATGTGCTTCTAATAAATTATAATAAAATTTTAGGATGAAAATGGATGTTTTGCAGATGTATTTAGGACTTTTTTTCCAAAGTGGATAGAGGACAGGAGAGATGCAACAATATATCAAGTTTTCAAGCATGCTTCTATATCACAGGCCAGACAACAGTTAGCTTCTTGGTCCCAAATAAGACATAATAAATAGGACTGTAAGAGATTCAAAGGAAGGTCGCATAAACTATATTTGGTATAGTAAAATATGTGAGATCAGTGAAACAATACAAGAAATTTAACTTTGTATTTGCAACCTGTATGTATTCCATATTTCAAAGAGCGGACAAGGAGTGGTATCATCATCGAAATGTGACAGAAGTGAGAATTTTAGTCCTGAAAATGAAAACAACTGCAAATAATGATGAGAGTTTGTGCCTGAATGACAGACAAGATAGAAATTCCACTCAAAATGGTTAGAGGAAATAGGTGGAAGAAATGTGCAAGTACAATTTCTTTAATCCTTGCAGACCTTGCACTAGTAGGCTGAATTCCTAGGCAATAAATCAGAGAACAGATTAAATTTGAAAGACAGAGACTCCTCTGAAGTGAAGAGACTAGATTAAAAAAAAGCCATATGTATAGAATGTGAAAAAAAAATAAGAAACACAGAGTTCTGAGTTTTTAAGATAAAGCCGGAAGTGTAGAAAGTGCACTCTGTGAGCTAAGAAATGTGAAGATCCATGTTTGTCATCCTCTAAATCTTTTTTTTTTTTTTTAAGAAAACTAAAATTTCTGAAAAATATTAAATCTATAAGATGATCTTGTCTGTAATCAGTTCTCTTGGCAGACAGCAAATTACTGTCAAGACTAGAAAATTTGTCACCATCTGTATTTGCCATTTCAGCAAATTCTCAACTGGCTTAATACAACACTAAATTCTTTTGTCATGTTTCCACAACAGTATTAGGAAATAAGCATTAGGAAAGGGCTTGCAGTTGTTACTGAGAAGTTAACTTAGTTGACAAGTGAGCTTCAGTAATGGAAGATAATTTAGGGACAATATACAACATGTATTTCCATTGTAAGTTTAGCTACATGACTTCAAAGTCATACGCCTTCAAACCTTATGGTCTCTGGTACTAACAGGTTGATTCGTGGCTCTGATCTTAGGTACTTCTCATAGTAAAGCATGCCAGTAACACCCTGCACACTTTGCCTCTCTTAACTGGCTATCTTAGAACACGTATACTCTTTCCTGTTGCTTGAGCAAGAGCAGATGAATACTTCCCCTACTTCAGTAGTAGTATCAGTCTTCTAGAAAATTATCAAGGTAGAGAAACTGAAAGATAACAATAAGTAAAACAAGAATGCAGCTTTTCTTCTTCTGGTTTGCTAGACTTCCTTTCAGATTTCAAACAATAATGTAACCACATCTTTAAATCAGCGGTATCATTGCACCCATAAATATGAGGAATACTCCAAAGTAATACTTCCTGTTCTATTATGTTGACCCATGACATCAGAGGAGGATATTGGCAATATGACAGTAAAAGCTGAAACTTCCCACCAATGTCCCATTACATTTTGTTGACATGTGACAGATGGCAGCAGAAGAGCAGTCTGACAGAATGGCGTCTGAGATGAAAGTGCAGACAAAGCAAGTGTGTATTATAAAACTCCTCCACATGGAAAAAAAATGGAACCTACTGACATTCATCAACACTTGCTGAATGTTTCCAGAACCAAACAGTGGATGTAAGCACAGGTAGAGGTAGGTGGTGCATTTACTCAGTGGTGACAGTGACAACAGGTCATATTTTCTGGCACAGATAGTTAAATACGCAGATTCTTGTTCATCACTGAAAATACACATATACATAGATAATGGTGGTGTCAGTATTGAAAAATAGCTTTTTTAGCTGAGAATTTGCTCCATCAAATAGCATTATTCTGCTCTTTGTTGTAGTTTGCATGGAATTAAATAGAAGGCATAACTTTCAGAGCAACCTACGTAAATATATTGACTGTAGAATAGACTTTTGTCTTCCTATGTATGAAATTATCAAAACAATTGTAAAATATTAATACAATAGTAAAATACTATTATTTATATATTTCCATTCTCTTGGGAAAAGAATGTGTCATGGTTAATAGATGCATAGAACCATGACAGAATGGAAATTATTTCAACATTTATTCTTCAAATATTTTGTTAAACATACAAATGGGGAAAAATTAATTTACTTTCTTCTTGTAGCAGCAATATGGCATATTCCTCTGGAAAACTTCATTAATTTTATTTTCAAGTTTTCTTGGTGTTTCAAAAATATGATACCAGCACTTACTGAAGTGTGATGTATTTAAAATCTGTAATTTGAGACTAGAGGAAGCTTTTGTTTAACTTCACCAAGTCATAGCTAAAAAACAACAAAACTTAAAACAACCCAAAATCTAACAGCTCACTGTTTGGCTGAATCAGATTTGTGTTCCAGAAACAGTGTTCTACCATACAAGGCAGTATAATACTGACTACATAAAAATTTTTGGAAGAAAGGTATTTTCATGTAGAATATTGTCTTTTATTTTCAACCACGTGTCTTAAATAAAGAACAGGAAACTTTAATATTAGAATTACTCAAATTTGATCTTGGAGAAACTGAGAACAGAAACTGGCAGGTGATTGATTGCATGGACCTACCTCTAATTAGTGGACATAGAACTGGTAAATCTACAGCGTGAAGGAAAAATAGTTTAAAGCCTTTTTCATTTGCTGACGTGGCAAAATTCAAATCCAAATTCCTCACCTCCTTACCCTAATATTATCATTCCTTATGGTATTGGCAGCATAGCAATATAAATAAGGTAACAAATTAAAATGCTTTCCTAGCCATTACAAATTTAATTACTCATTATTACAAATCAAATAATGTAAGAATACACATGCTTCCAATCATTTCTTCATTTTTTTCCAAGTGTAACACTGTGCTTCTTCTGAAAACATATAATTATTATTTCTAATTGGAATTATAAATCTACTATTTTTGAATTCACAATTTTATCCTTAATATTGAGTTTAAACTCGGACTACCAAAATTACTTATAAGGAAATGCTGCCACCTGAAAACACTGTGATGTCTGGAACACTGTTTATCATACACAGAAAAAGAACTAAAGATACAGGGCAGTAAGAGATATTCTGAAGGAGGCAAAAGCCTAGGCACTCTCTTTGTCAGCACTATCATCCTAATTGAAATAATAGTGAAGAGAAAACTTTTTGATAAAATTATCAGTAAGTTATCATCTCATTAACTGAAATATAGCGAAATATGAATTTTGAAAATGTTCATTCAGTTGGCCAGGTTTAATCCATATAATATTCTTTATGTATGTTACATGTTGTGTGATGTTAAAGCTTTTAATAAGTATCGTACATCATTCCATCGGATCCCTTTCTGACAATGAAATAGTTACATTTGTCCTTCAGTTCTGCAAACTACAGTGCTAATGACAATGTTATCCATGTAATTATTTCCATTAAAATTATGTGTATGTCTGATAAAGTATTCATTATTTGAAATTTGTGTCGCCTATTAAATTGGGAAGTTTCAGTTAAATATGAGGCTAAACCCATAATGCCCTGGATCTTATGATCATCTGATGGCCTTTAAGCAGTATGGACTGACTGACTTTTTTTTGGCAAGTACTTGGACTTTCTCCAGTATTTCAATGTACCAGAACTTAACAAAGTTAAACATTGTGAAACTTTCTATACATTTTATCTGAAACATCTGATTGGAAAACCAGCTTTGATTGATAATGATAATTCATATCTCTTTCAATTTTGTTTCAATAATATGTTATTTCTACATATTCTCTCTATTTTTGTACCCTCCCAAAAGACAATCTCTCTATAAAACTGGCAGGATTTTTCTAATTACTGACGAAGTCTAAATTTCACATCAAAATATGGAACAAATATTTTTATTAAAACAAGCAGCTTTCCTTGTATATTGCCATTTAGTTAAGTACTGTCATCGTGCTTTCAGCCCCAGTGACAGAATTGAACTGATATTCTTGAAGCTGTTGTTGATGATCTTGGCTAAAATGGAAGTGAGGTAAAGGCAATGAAGGAATTCTCAATGAAGGAAAATGGAACATCTGCAACTGAGTACCCTCAGCTACACCTAGTCTCCTGAAGGGTTTATTAATTACCCAGTTGTGTTTTGTCTGGAGTTTTTATACCAGGTGCAAATTGCTTGCATTGACTTTAATGCCTTTTAAATATCTTCTTATTATTTTCCTTAGTATATATTAGGATGCTTCTTCTTTTTTTTTTTTAAAAAAAAAAAAAAAAGTATCATCCTTCTTTTCCTCTAGCTTCCAAAACCTCCTTTCAATAATTTAGTTTTCCAGCTCTACTGCCACCAGTCTACATTCTTCTTCCATAGTATCTTTTAACAACCTTGGATAAAACCCATCTGGACCTCAGGATTTATTGGTTTTGAGTCATTGTAACTCATTTATCACTTCTGTCTTACTGACCTTGAAATCATCTAAAATAGCGAGTGCACAGCCAGTTCAGTTGAGATTTCATTAATGCATTCTGTCTCCAGTAACTGAATTCAGGAACTATGCGTAACTGTCTTGAATATGTAAACTTAAGTGGAGAAATATGCATACACAGACAAGAATCCCAAATCTTCAGTTTTACTGAAGACAGATGAATGTGTGGACGTGGGGAGGAGGGGTCCTTCTGAGCAGTAATCTCCAGTAGCAGTAAGTTACCTGTTGCGCTGAACATAAGATTTTTATTTCATGTCTACCTTGGTGTAAAAATTGCTGACTTATGTTTCAGAGAGATAGACTCATGTTACCTTGTCATTTCTATACTCCATAATCTCAGAGAATTTTAACTTTGTTTGTTTTTTTTTGAGACTCAGTGAGCTAAAATTTTTTGAGAGAGGAGTCAAAACGTAGGGGATTGAACTTCATATGCAGCTGAGGGTGAAGAGAGCTGCTTTACCTGGGGTGCTGATGAGCCCATTTAAACATCTAAGTGTTCAACAGGTTCAGAACGCAAACATTATTGCTATAGGAGGAAACATTAGATTCAAAGCAGACTAGGGAGTAATTTGTTCTGCGTTGTACCACTCATTGCTTGCTGGTGATATGTGGTATCATGTAACTTTTAACTGTGTTTGTAGAAAGGTCAGGATGACCTGAGGACTGAAGCTCTGAGAATTTACCGATGGAGATGTCGTATGCAGAAGCCACTGAAATGCACACAGTTGATGTAGATTACGTTCTCGATTGCAGAATTAAGGCATATCGCACATTCAAAGTTTGCAGATTTGTTTAGCTGTCAGTTACTGATTTAAGCATTTAATCAGGAATTTTCTACTCCTTTTTAGTTTGAAGGAGGATGGCTTTACAGACTACGATAGATGCTTGGGAGGAGTCATTTGCTTGCTCTTTTGTTTCAGTCTGAAAAGAGCTGCTTACCTTATGGCAGAAGGTAAAGACCCAGAGAGTAAAAGTGTTTTCTAAGCCTATACATAGCAATTTACTGTTTTTAACTCCTACTTCCAAATTAATTTAGTTCTCAAATGATAAAAAAAGAAAAGACATATAATTTTTATTCCTGGTTCTCAACAACTTCATTGTAAATCCATGTGAAAATGTCTTCTGATTTTTTCCTTCAGTTTTAACAAAAAAGAAAACCAAGCAAGCAATAGAGGGACATAGAAACCCACATTATTTCCCCATGGGTAAAAATTCTGAAAATCTGACATGATTAAAAGAAATTAATGGATATGTTGTGCAATGTGACTGTTGCTCCTGCTGACTGCATTGAAATTAGTATTTCAAATATTCTGGAGTCAGCAACATTTAGTGCTTTTCAACATGCTCACATATGCTGAATGCATGAGAATGCTCTGCTGAACATTGAGAAATACACTGGACAAGGATAACTGGAATCTCTGAAATGGGTGAATTGCACACAGTGGAGAGATACTCGACCCATTTCTGCAACTGATTACAGACCTCTCATATACACTCACACTGAAATCATATTAAACAGAAAAAAAGATATCGTCATCAAAAGGTGACCAGAATCTACCAATGATCTGACCTTGCCACTCTGTAGTTTCCTTACGTCTTCCTTTAAGCCTGATGCACTCAAGTACCAGATAAGAGCCCATTCTGTATTATTAGAATTATTGCTCAGTGTCAAAATAGTTGTCTGTATGGAATGAAAAAGAATATGGCTAAGAATGTTCTTTGCATTTATGGTGGTCCATTTGGCTACTTCATTATGTAATTAAATTTCCATTCAGAAACAAAACTAAAGGTCCCACCTGCATTATGTATTGCTTTCCCTTATCTTTACCCTTGCAGTCATGTACATAAGTTCCTCCATTTTGGCAATTATTACTTGCAGAATAATTTTTGAGCACAGCAGGCTGACCAAGAAGGCGTTGCCTTGACAGATACAGAAATGGGGCTAGCCAAAAAGTTTTTGACAAGAATTATTAGTGCTTGTCCTGTATGTTCTTTGAGAACTCTGAAGCATATATCCCACAGAATAAATCACATAAATTCCTGAACTAAGAGAGTTATGAGAATCAGGCAAGCAGAAAGACTCTCTTATGCTAGACAAATCAGTCTAGCTCCACAGGAACATGAACTGAAAGAAGCACCTGGAAATCATGCTTCATTTAATGCCACTAATCAAGGCTCCTGAAGAATGCATTCCCCATTCCAGTTCATGTTTGGTCCCTGCTACTTCTTCCCCTCTGGTTACATGCTCTTTGGTCTGAATCTTCTGATGAAAAGAACTTGCGTGCATATGAAAACCACTGATTTTGTTGCTACAGGTTGCCAGAGAGAGATTTTTCCATGAGCTTCTGTCTCATTTAATTGTTGGAGTGAATTTGCTGAACTGGCTCAAAATGTTGCTGAGGAGAGAAACGCTTCCCTTCCATGGAGACTTTGACTTTTGTTTTCTTTAATCTAAAAGGAAATAATCCAGACAAGTATTGTGTGTTTGTTTTAATTTCCTTCTTTTGCAGTGTATTGTCTCCATCCCTTCCATGGCTACGATATGTTTTCCCAGCTCTCCACAGGCACTTTATCTCGAGTAAAAATGCATATATGATAGTGTTGTATAGGAATGGATTACAGCAGCATCTCAGAGGCATTATACCCTATGCTCTGAATAAAATATGTGCTTTCAAATTGCTTCCAACATATTGCATACATAGCACTACCTAAGTTAGCTGATGAAATAAGATTTTAGTTTTAATCCATGAAGATATTTGAAGTAATGAAAGAATGGAGTTAAAAGGTGGAGTATGAGTCTCATGTGACGACATCTGAAGCCTAGCAATAATTATATAAATACATAAATTTTTAAAAAAAAAAGTCACAACAACAACAACAAAAAAACAATCTATATTTTGGTCTAGAACTGTGATTCCTATACTTGATCAATAAAGCTCCAGTACCCAGTCTTGAGGTTGCCCTACAAACTATTTAATCTTAAAGAAAGTTAAACATGTTCAAATTTTAACATGTTTAATTTTTAAATTAAACTGATTTTTATTTGAAGCGTGAAGTTGGACAGTGATGCATGAAAAATAAAATTGAGTTTTAAGACTGACAGTGGTGCATAGTATTTGGGAGCCAATATCTGGGCCCGGAAACTGCTAAACGTCCACCTTCAGTGAAGTTCAAGTACATTTCACTAATAAATCTGGAAGGTGACTGTGTGTAAGTAATACTACAATGCTTCGATTCCCTGAGCATTGCCATATAAGGAACATATTATTTGGAAACTTAAAGAAATGAGGTAATAGTTAAACATGAACATTATTTTAGCTCACAAAGTAACTGGATTCAAAATTTCAGTCCTCAAGGCGTTTACTCCCTAAAACTTTGTTGTTATGAAAAAATAGGAATTCATTTACTGTTTCCAACAGAGAAACCTTCATACACACAGCTGTTCAACAGGTTAGTCCATACCTGTCAGGAGGCACTTTCCTTCAACTTTTACTTTTTCTGTGCATTGTAACTGTAGAACACCTGTGTAGCCTTGAGAGTGTCATGCTATCTGTAGATGCCTTTGTTGAAGGACTTCATAGAACAGATAAAGTCATTTTTAACCATCATTCCAGCAGGGAGCTATTAAATGGTGGCCGCATGAAAACTCTTGCAACAAGAACATCCTTTTCTGTTAGGGCTGCTCTGAAAGTAATGCCTATTTTATCACTGACCCATGAAGTCAATGTTGGCAGATGCTGGTGGTATGGCAGTAGATGTGGAACCTTTCACCGATATCCCATTACATGTTGTTGCTGCGTGACAGATTGCAGCAGAGGGGCAGTCTGGCAGAATGGCATCTGACATGAAAGTGTGGATGAAGCAAAGGTGTGTCACCTGAATTCCTCCGTGCAGAAAAAAATGACACACACTGACAGTTATGGATGCTTACTGAATGCTGATGGAGATGAAACAGTGCTTGTGAGCCCAGTGAACTGGTGTTTGGTGCATTTCAGCATTGGCAAAAACAATATCAAAGACAAGCCATGTTCTAGCCAGCCAATCTCAATGAACTCATCCACAAGAATTGGCTACTGGTGTACCTATGCTGAAAAACAGCTTTGTAGCTGACAATTAGCTCTATCAAGTAGTGTTATTGTATTCTTTGTTTTAGTTTGCATGGTCATAAGTAGGATGCACTACTTTCAGAGCAGCCTTTGTAGTGAAATATCTTCAAAGAATTTTTAATTTTGCTAAATATGCTTTGAAGGAAAAAGTCTTGTAAAAAAAAAACAGTTTACGTTTTGTTTTGTTTTTTTTCTGGGATAGTCTACAGCCCAGAAGGACTGATCATTCAAAACATGTAAATATTTGAATTTTTTAATGAAATCAACATTTTGATGTTTACATTAAAGTATGAGAGTTGCAGGATACCTGTATTTCAGCTAGTGAAATCCAATAATGAAATACTTATTCATTATGGATGGGGAAAAAAAAAAAAAAAAAAAAGATAAATGTTTTACTTCTGGCAAGTTCATGTGACTTCTTTCAAATTTTTGCTGTTTCTTCTTTGTGCTTACCAAGTGAATCAAGATTTTCAATAAACTGTATTTATAAACATTTGTTTATAATTTATTTCCTCCTCTTATCATTGTAAATCAGATTAAGCTTGGGGAACTTAAAAGAAACAGGATCTGTACCCCTGGCCTTTCCTTGGAATCTGATCAGTCCCTTACAGGTGATGGGGAGCCAGCTCCTAAC